CACATAATTGACTTCAGGAATCAGTTTTGGAAAATTTTTTATCCGACCCTATTTTGATATAAGACCTTAGGAGGTCATTTTACAAGGTAAAATCTGAATTTTTTAGAGAGAGAAGAGAGCTATATTATAGAGAGAAGAAGAAGACCTAGCATGCTAATCATCCATTATTGCCCCAATCTTCAAGAATCAAGGAAGCCAATCACAAGATCTTCATCTAAGATGTAAGGTTCTACTCCATAACCCTAAATTTTGGGATTTAGACTGAAGGTAGGTCATGAGAAGTATGATTCTTAGGTGTGGGAGTTGCTCCTTGTGCATGAATGTAACCATAAGGGTGGTAGGGAGGTTATTTAACTAAAATGAGTAAACTCTTGGTATTGAATTGGTTGTGGGGTGAAGAAAATCTTGTAGAAGAACCTTGTAATCAAATTTATACACCAAGTGTTTGATAAAATACTTAAAGGAGGTGAACCCACGAATATCTTCCTAATTATATTCAATTTTGTTATGTTTCTAAATAGATTGAAAATGCTAGGATTTCTTGAACATTGTAGTAATCTAAGAAAAGCTCAAGCACGGTATGTTGGCTAAACTACTCTTTTAGAAATGAATTTCATGATGTTCCCATAAGTTTCAAGCATTATTGACTCAAGTTTCTTATTCCCATGTTGCGAGTTGTTCCCAATAAATTTGATTGTCCTGAGTAAGCAAGTGTCGAGAATTATGTATTCAAAATGTATTGCGAATATTCCTATCACATTATGTTATCATTCATGAATGTGTTCAAGAATGATATGTGTATTAAAATGTTATGGCTTTGAGTTGTGTTTTAAATGAAAGTCCATTATGCTTAACTAGGAAAGAATACCCCATGCATCTAAAACTCCTATTGCTCATATGTGTACCTAAGGTCTTGAGTTGAAATGCCTTGTTGTTGATAATCTATAAGGATACTTGAAAGTAAAAGAAATGGTTTGTAGATGTAAATCGTGGCCACCGTGCCCATAATAAAAGTTGTACTTGTAGCCAATGGTGCTAAGAAAATGAAATGATGTGAGAAAGGTTATGAAATGAGCCTTGACTCAACTGTTCCAAGTTGACTTCGAAGATAGAATTACCTAAAAGTTTATGTACTCAAGTCATGCACACATGTGGTTGTTTTAACTAATGCTATGTTTTGTGAGTAATTTCAATGTGTTTTGCATTCTTACATATTCGTGAGTGAAAATTGTGTACTGCCCTTTTTGGGGAGAAGTATTTCAAAAATAAATGGTGTTACTCATTTATGATCTTAACTTGTGCTTTGATTGCCAATCATTTTACTCCATTTCTTGGAAATTTTTTTATTGTATTTAAAGCCTTAATTACTAATGAACCTAAAGTTGTGATCTCCGAAATATTCTATATGTTGATATTTATGATAATGATCCATAAAAGGAAAGATATGAAAGTGTGAAATATAAAATACGGCCATTGTGCCACGAAAGAAGAATCATATGTATGGCCAAGAGAGCCAATGAAATAATGATGTTGTAAGTGGTTGAAAGTACGAATGAAGTGATATATGATGTGAAAGGTTATGATATGAAAGTATTTGTACTTTTGTTTCCAATGTGTTATAAGCTCCTACGTTCTTATGAATAAAGGCGATGTTGTTCCTAAATATTTTAAATGCTCTTAATGTTCTATGATCACCCTTGGCAAGTACAAGTAAGTGATAGTATGAACATGAAATGTGGTCGCTTGCCAAGATGAGAATTGTGAGGCATTGTATGTCCCAATGGTTTCAATCATAGTATGTATGCTTCTAAAATAAACAATACAAATAACTTCGATGTTAAGTCCCCAAGAGTCATGAACTTAGCTAATGACCTCAAGATGTCAAGTGAGTGAATAACGAGATGAAATGAAGATGTCCTATGCTAAATGATGATGAAACTTAAGAAAAGAAATTGGGCTCATGTGCCATAGAAATCGACTAATTGATTTACCATGCATGTGCTAATGTAATGAGTTGTGTTTCTTCATGATGAGTATGAACATGAAGTATTCCAATGATATGGGAAATTACGACCATAAATGTAATGTTAATCATGTCGCTTTGAGTTTATATATGGCATTGTGATACACCTCCACCCGCATATATTGGGGTGAGGCGGCAGGGCCGTTTTGTGTAGAGATTGTGGTATTGTGATACACCTCCACCCGCATATATTGGGGTGAGGCGGCAGGGCCGCTTTGTGTAGAGATTGTGGTATCGTGATACACTTCCACCCGTATATGTTGGGGTGAGGCGGCATGGCCGCTTTGTGTGAAGGTGGTTATAGAGGATCCCCGACTTAAAACCTATAAATGTTATTGGAAGTTCTTAATAAATTTGCTTGACTTTAACGGCTATCTAAGCCCTTTTATTATTACCATGATTCATCATATTCATATTGTATTTTCAAGTCCTTGAATAGGTGTATTGTATAAGTGAACACTATGGACAGTATATGAGACGCATATGTGTATAATATGATATGTGAACACTAAAGGCGGTCTATGAAATATATATGTGTAAAATAAAAGAGGGATATGGACTGTCTAGTGAGACACATTGTTAACATGGACAATAAGTTCCACTTTTATTGGCCTTGTTTGTACATGTTGTATCAATTTTATTATATTATGTATTCCACTCATAATTCATATGGCTCAATTGATCCCAAAAGATGTTCAAAATGATGTAAGTATAAAAAAACTTGAAATTTGATTCTATGGGATGTTTCGTAGTTTCTTGATGTGCTTTATTTGCCTCTTATTTGAGTTATCGTATCTTCATATATTGTTTTGTCTGCCTTGCATACGAGTACTATTCCACCTGTACTCACGTCCCTTTTGTCGGGGGCGATGCATCTTTTAATGGATGCATGTATACTTCTACAGGATGATATGGATCTTTGATAGGGATCTTCTTCAATACTCAGCTTATGGTGAGCCCGCTACAGTTCTAGTGGGTGTTTGGGTCTAGTTCATTTTATGTATTTAGGTATATATTGTCATAGAAGCTCTATGTACATTGTGGATTATGTACTTAAAGATTTGAGTTTTGTCATGTGTTTATGTTCACAGTTATTTATGAGGCTACGCACCCACCATGAAAAAGATTATAGGCCATTGAGCCAAATGTATTCAATTTAAAAGTCATGATCTATTGATGTTTTGATAAATCATGAATGAGTTATGATGAGATGTTTATGTAAATTAGGCTTGCTCGACCAGGTTTACTTGGTTGAGCGCCGGTCGTGCTCCCCAAGGTCGGGGCGTGACACTTATATTTAGTAGTATTGGCTTGTTATTTCACATTGCATGTTGTTCATTTTTAGTTAGAATTGATAGATTAGTTTTGTCAAATATTTGAATAATGTTATGACATTATATTTATAAATATTAATTTATTTTATCAAACATGCATTCCATGATATTCTTACAAAATGTATGTTTTTAGTTTTTGTAATTAATTAAACAAAGTATTATTAATTTGGAAAATATATATCAATTATCTTTACAATATTAGTTATAAACATATGGTTACTAATTAATGTATATTCAAGAAAAAATATGCATCTTAAATACCAAATCTAATATCATTTATACTTTAAAAAAATCATGTATAGGCATTTATTTATTATATTAACTTTTAAATTTTAAATTTTGATAATTAATTCATTTAAAATTTAATCTAACTGTGTAATTATACTTGTGCAACCAAACAACACGCTTGTAATTATACTGTAATTACGTTATGGCAAACAAACAAGTCGTCGTAATTACTATATTGTGTAATTACTAGGTTGTGTAATTATTACCCTACTAATTACATCAATTCCAATTATCGGATAACTTTCCAGACATACCCCTAGTGAATCAAATTAATGCGGAGTAGGATAAATTAGGAGAGAAAGCGGCTGCTTCCTTTAAATGGTATATACCCAATTGACATCGAGAAAAAAGAGAGGTTGAATTGAAAAAATATATTATATGTATCTTTATATTTTTACCTTAAATTATTAACTATCATAAATAAATATTATTTAATATAAACATCAAATGTTAATAAATATTTTCTAAGTCTATAAGGGATCGTTAGGTTCAAAACAAGATTATCTTAGGATTTATCCTCGGATTATAATCATGACTATAATGTCATCTTTTATCCGTGATAGATAATATCAATAGCTTGGTATAATATTTATCTAAACGATGGATAAATGCAATCTTAAATCTAATACTACGGAATTAGTATCCTAATCTAATCTAGGTAACCAAATCTATTATGAGTCGTTTGGTTGGGAAATAAATTATTCCAGGGTTAATTATCTCGGTATTAGTTATTTCGGGATTATTATCCCATCATTTCATAGGGATAAAAACAATACTACAATTTCAGGATAACTAATTTCGGAATTAATTATACCACAATTTTATCACAACCAAATGTTTGATAAACTCATCTCAAACATAAGTAATCCATGATTAATTTTTTCAGGATTAGTTATTCCGAAATTGTTATCCTACTCTCTCATAGGGAAAAAAATAATACTACAATTTCGAAATTAATTATACCGTAATTTTATCTCAATTAAACATGAACTAAACTCATTAAATTTAATCTCGTGATTAATTATCTGATTATTACCAAACGAGCCGGTGTAAGATGAGCCTTGCCTTTTCAAATTCTCTGTCATGAGAAGATCCGGCTTGGTGTGTGTGCCTTTTCTCCATTTTCTGCAACATACTATTACTACTACATAGTATATAAAGTATGTATATATATCCCCTTCTATTTTGTATCTTTATACATATCCTACACTGCTACTAGTTATTATTTTATTTTTACCATTCCAATACCAAGAAAGTGGAGTATAGTAAAAAAAAACCAAAGCCCCCAAACAAAAATCATCGAAATCTCCTCCTTTCAGTCCCAATCTCAAATCAAAATACATACTCCTATTACTACATATAAAGAAAGGACAAGCGTGACATCCACTCTGATAAAATCTCTTTCTTTTTCTCTTCCTTTATCTTTCTTTCTTTTTTCTTTCTGTTTTTGAGAAACGAGTCTCTGAGTAGTACTCCTCCTATAGCTTTTCTCTCTTCTTCACTCTTCTTCCCTTCACACCTCCCACAACACACAATCAGACAAAAAAGAGAAAAAAATAGAGATACAAGAACATGAAAATGAGTATGGTGAAAAAGTTCTGTTTTGTATAATGAGAAAAAGAGATTTATATACATCTCTTCTTCTACTCCCTTCTTACTAGAAGATGGCAATAGAAAACAATGAGCAACAAGAACTATCTCAATCTTTCCTTTTAGATGCTCTATACTGTGAAGAAGAAGAAGAAAAATGGGGAGATTTATTAGATGATGAGACTATTATTACACCACTCTCTTCAGAACTAACAACAACAACAAAGCCTAATTCTTTATTGCCTTTGCTTTTGTTGGAACAAGATTTGTTTTGGGAAGATGAAGAGCTTCTTTCACTTTTCTCTAAAGAAAAAGAAACCCATTGTTGGTTTAACAGTTTTCAAGATGACCCTTTACTCTGTTCAGCTCGTGTAGATGCTGTGGAATGGATTTTAAAAGTGAATGGTTATTATGGTTTCTCTGCTTTGACTGCCATTTTAGCAATCAATTACTTTGACAGGTTTTTGACTAGTCTTCATTATCAGAAAGATAAGCCTTGGATGATTCAACTTGCTGCTGTTACTTGTCTTTCTTTAGCTGCTAAAGTTGAAGAAACTCAAGTTCCTCTTCTTTTAGACTTTCAAGTAATAACCTTTTTTTTTCTAACTTCTTTATTTTACCAAATTCTTGAAATTTTCATTTTATAAAACATGTTGATTTTTATAGGTGGAGGATGCTAAATATGTGTTTGAGGCAAAAACTATTCAAAGAATGGAGCTTTTGGTGTTGTCTTCACTAAAATGGAGGATGAATCCAGTGACCCCACTTTCATTTCTTGATCATATTATAAGGAGGCTTGGGCTAAAGAATAATGTTCACTGGGAATTTCTTAGAAGATGTGAAAGTCTCCTTCTCTCTATTATGGCTGGTAATTATTGAACTCATATCAGTTTTTTTTTTCTTTTTGTTCTTTTTTGAATAACAGTTGTGGAATCTTATTTTGACTAAAGATTAGATTTTTCGATGATAACAAGTAAAAAGAAAAGTAACAGAAGAAACCCCTTTTGATTTTTGGACATCTTTGCCTAATAATACAGATTGTAGATTCGTACGTTATATGCCGTCTGTATTAGCCACTGCAATTATGCTCCACGTTATTCATCAAGTTGAGCCTTGTAATTCTGTTGAATACCAAAATCAACTTCTTGGGGTTCTCAAAATTAGCAAGGTTAGTTCTATTAATTTGTCTTTTACCATTTTCTTGATTGTTACTGTTTTTTTTCATGTTACACCCCAACATGGTGAAAATTTAAAACAGCCATTAAGTGTTATACTATGAGTATATTCCAGAGAATTAACTGCAACCATTTACTGCTTTTACTGTACACAGGAGAAAGTGAATAATTGCTTTGAACTCATCTCAGAAGTTTGTTCTAAGCCCATTTCACACAAACGCAAATATGAGAATCCAAGTAGTAGCCCAAGTGGTGTAATTGATCCAATTTACAGCTCAGAAAGTTCAAATGATTCGTGGGATTTGGAGTCAACATCTTCATATTTTCCTGTTTTCAAGAAAAGCAGAGTACAAGAACAGCAAATGAAATTGGCATCTTCAATTAGCAGAGTTTTTGTGGAAGCTGTTGGCAGTCCTCATTAAAATCAATCACCTAATTTATCTTCTCTTTCTTATTACCAACTATGGTGGTAATAATATTTATTCTATTCAGAAGTATTTACCTTTAATGTCCTTTTCAAAAATTACATGATAATGGAAAAAAAAGAGAAAAAGAGCTTAGCTGGTGGTTGCAGTTGGCAGAGAAGAGGACTGGCTTTTTTGCAGCAGTGTAGTCTACTACTGGAAAGCAAAGAGAGAGGAGAAAAGACAGAAAATCTGCACTATTTGTTTTTTCTCTATTCATATCAATCCTCTCTTAGGTCCTTTTCATGCATGCATACTTTTGATGGACATATTTTATATATTTACTATAATCATAAATTCTTGAATATTTTGTTAATTTTCTGTATACCCCTTCTCCCCTTTAATATCCTTCTATATCACTACAGAACATGTGAATTAGAATCTGAAATGCCAGGAAAATATTGACGTAGAAGTAATAAGACTAGAGTTTAACTCAGAGTCTTTACAATCAACATTGCAAAAAACTTTTTACACTATTAGGTAACCTGTAACACTATAAAAATGTGATATGTAATCTTGATATAAGGCATGTTACTTGTTACGATAGATAATGTGACATGGTAGTGACATGGTAGTGTACATTTTTTTTACACTGATGAATATTTAGTTAAACTCATAATATTATAGAAATGAATATAATTGCCTAACGATTTAAGTTATGTACTTTTTACTTGAATTGGGCAATTTATCTAGTCATAGTATATTCTCACTTTGTTCTTAAGCTAATAAGAACATAGAAAAGAATTGACAAGTGAAGATTTTTATAATCTTTTGGTAATTTAAATGTTATTGTATATTATCCCTATAATTTTCACGTGGTAAGGTTATATACAATCGGTGTGATTGTATTTTAAACTTTCTAACATGATTTGAAGATTTATTTATTATTGTATGTCAATTTCATTAGTGTACCAAAACATGTATACAATGTTGTACCACAGAATTTAAAATCATTGGAAAAAAAAAATGAAGTTGCTCAAATTCCTTAGGTCCGATCAATTTTTTGCCATAACATGCTAAATATCAATTCGAGCTTAATATGTCAAACATCTTTTGTAAAGTTGCCCTTCACAAAGAGTCACTAAAAATGATGTTAAGGTAAACAAATTTCGATTGCTTCAAATAAAAATACTGTTATGTTATAATGACTAATTTGAGACACTAGTCTAGAAAAAAAGTAGATGTCAAATGTGAGATCACAATTTCAACTGATTACTTTGTACGTAAGCCGAGTTTTTTATATGGTAAAAGGCCAGGCAATCAACTCCATGATGTTTCACAATAGAAATAGAAGAGGAATGATAAAAAGATTGTTTGATTCTTAAGATAGATAGGAGTGATAAAAGAATTGTTTGGTTCTTAAGATAGATCATGCGTTGAACTTACAAAGGTTTTGAAACTCTTTGACCACTAAATTATGCTTTTGAGTTGTTTCAAACATAATATATAGAGGTAAAAAATATATTTTATCATTATATACAGTGTAATATTTTGACGAAGGGGATTCGGGTGAACCCCCTTCCGTCCCCCTAAATCTGCCCCTGACACTTGGTCGCGTGCAACAAGAGTTTAAGTGTATACATTATTAGTCTAAGAAATTTTTTCACCCTCTGATTATTTTAGCAACCAATTTACCTTATTTTCAAGGTTATAAATCTTCAAATTTTTAAGAAAGCTTAACCTGTGAATATTTTTGCGTAATATGATAGTACAAAAATTTCCTACATTATTGATGTATATCACTTAAACTCGTGCAACAATAAGAAGATTTTGTGCAAGAATAAGAAGATTTTCTTATGATTATTGGGTAAATTGTGGTATAGGGGACAAGCAAGCATGGCCAGGATACGAGAGAATTAAGCCCAAAGTAGAGAGAAGAATATGTTTGGATGTGAATGGGAGACAAAGGGGTTTTGTCGGACATTGGTTTTTTTTTTACTTTTGTTTTCTTATTCTTTTATTTCTAGAAACTAGAATGATGTGTGTGTATGTCTCACTCTCAGTCGAATGGAGACCTTTTGGAGGGATTTTATTTGTAGTTATCAAGTGGGTTTGACTTTGACCTCATTTCATTATTTGCCCCCTCCCTCTTCCTTTGTTTTTGGGGTGTCCCATTTTTTCTGTTTCTCTTTAGCTTTTTCCATTTTTATGTCAACTAATAAAACAATATTTTATTTTTCATGAGAACAGAACTGCTTCACTATCTCTGCAAGATAAGAATAAAATTTAAGTATATAATATTATTTCTGGACTCCACGCTGTTAGAATACACTGAATATGTTATTGTTAAAATAAAATAATATTTAGTATAAAAGAATACCAATATATAAGTTTAAAATAATTATACTCTTCGATTGGAATTGAATGAGGACTCAACGCCTTCCTCTGCCTTAACTTGGTAATAGATTCATTGATGTAACATTATTCATATTAATTGTGGAGAAATAGAGCATAAATTTGGTGCTTTTGAAAAAGGGAGATTCCACTCATCGCCTTTTTGTTTATTTCAAGGGAAAAAGAAAGTAGAGCAAACAAAGGTTACTGATATTAAAAACAAAGTAGAGTGCAAAAGGATTACTGAAACATATTACAATCACTTTAATTTTTAATTGAATCATCTTCCAATGAAGTTAATCTCTGATCGAATTTTTACTAGCTTGTACAGATTGTGTAATCCTAATTACAAAAAAGTCAGGAGCCAAATTGGATTCGTGAATTTCTAAAGAAAAATATTGTTTTTAATACTTAAAGCAAAAAAAAAGAAGAGGAAATTTAGCAGCCTTAGGAATCTGCCAGGAATTGGAAATACAAAAAACTACGACCAATTTCTCATTGTTTCAAAAGGATTATGTCATTTGTCATCTCAGACTTGCATGCTGGACAAAATCATCAATTGCAATCAAGTAATTTCTTCTTATATTTTCCCCTTCTCTTTCAGTTTGGTAAAAGAAATTTTATCTGTATATGATTGTGGTATTACCTAAAGAGTCAAACCTTATGGGGAGTTACAGTTCTTTCTGTGTGGGATGTACAAATGGAAGCTTTATTTCAAAGAATGTATGAAACAATGCCTTATTTCACACGGAAAAACTGATATTTTGTCCTCGGACTCCAGATGTTGTCCCTCTGTTTGAGATCGAAATATTAGTAATTCTTTTTGAGCTAGAAACTGTAGAGCAAATTGAAATTGCTTGAAAACTAAGAAAGGAATGAGAAAAGTAATTCATATTAAGCTGCTAAATAGAATGATTTTGTCGCTCTGTTTGTGATAGAAATTGAATTACAAGTTACAACTGCCAAGAAATACATCAACTATCTTTAAATTAAGCTGCCGTATAAAATGAAATTTCCAAGCAAAAAAATACTAAGTGATATTTTTTTATATGTTCAAGTTTGGTGGATAAAGTTATTTGATATTTGGGATCATGGGATAACATATACTTTGGAAAATTAGCACAATTATTTCGTACACGATAATATCTTTACATGTGCAATTAGACACGGGAGTAGTAATGTCATGTGACAGTGCGCCATCGTCCAAATAATATTAATAGTAACAAAATCCAGACCCTTAGGGGTCGTTTGGTTGCCAGTTAGAGTTATGCAGGTATTAGTTATATATGTATTAGTTATCGATGTATTAGTTATACATAAATAAGTAATGTATGGATTAGTTATGCATGTATTAGTTATGTAGGGATAAGTTATGCAAGGTTGAGTTATGTTGAGATTAGTTATGCATGGATTAATTATGCGGAGACTATTTATGCGGTAGTTATATAAGAATTAGTAATATAAATATAATGTGAGTGTTATTTATTATTTGCTTACTTTATTTTATTAAAATTGTTAGTATAGTTTAAATATATATTTTAAAATAAAAAAAATACAAGTTTGAATAAAGGGTATTCTTGTCATTTTGTGTTTTAATACAAGTATTACTAATACATGTATAAGTTATTCCACTTTCTACACTGCATAAATAATATATAGATTCCCTCATAACTTATACATCTATTAGTTATGCGGAAAAGAAAAATATGAACCAAACATTGTATTAGCAATGTTATATTTTATGTGGAAAAGAAGAAAAAACAATCAAACATTGTATAACTTATGCTAGCTTCTACGTGGAGATTATTTTTTACCCTTCTTTTAACCAAATAATGTATAAAGTTATCCTAGTTTTAATACATGGATAACTTCTCTCTAACCCGCTACCAAATGACCCCGAAGTGTTTAGCCTCAAAATCAGATAACAATTAAATTTGTAAGTGGTTTTAAGGATACGTGGATTAACTTGACACAAAGCGATAAATTAAATTGTTATTGAGTAAATAAAGATAAGATAAATTCAAACCACACGAGTTGGATAATTTCAGCCTTAATGGAATAATTGCCCTCGAGCCGGGTTCACCACGACCAATGTCGATAAACAAAAGAACAAGAGCTTAAAGACAGAGAAAATAATAATGTATTACTTTTGAGTGCGTGTTACACTGTGTCAAAATGAATTATTAGACCCCCTTTATATAGTAGGGGAGTCCTATTTTAGGTACAACTCTATAAAAGGCAAAATATCTTCGGATTCACTGATTGCCGACTCCTTATCGATACGTGCCGAGATCCCCGCCGTAATATTCGGTCGGTCCCGGATATTTCGGTCTTCTGTTGGCTATACTGGATTGTTTGACATTGTTCTTCGAAGTCGCTCGAGGCGAGGACCGATTTCGGGATCATGGCCTCGATATTCTCGAAGGTAGGCGTCATGCCCCCGGGTTCTAGTCCGGTGGGACTTAAGCTCGATTTCGGTCCCTTATTGCCATATTTCAAGCTTGACTTATCTTGTCGGAGGATAAGATGCATCATGAGCTCGGCTTCACCCGTATACAGATAGTCTCCTCATTTTTTGAAGAGTAAACGATGAGAAACGACATGAGCTTCTGACTCTTGCTTCGATGCATCGTGACAGAAACGACAAAAAAACTGAAACGTCTCGTCAGTCAAGTCTTATTGACATTAAATGCATGTCAGCCTTTGGTCGGCCGTCCCTGGATGCGAAACGCATCTGAAATACTATAAATACCCCCTTCTTTGTTCATTTTAACTTTATATCCAAACCTTCTACCCTCGTACCTTTAAGATTTCAATACTTTCTAGCACTTTTACTCCGGTTTTTTGAGATCCTTCGCAAGAATTTTTACCCGTCTTCATCTTAGGCCATCAAGTCCAATCTTTCAACTTTCTTTCTTTTTCCACCTTTCTTGGATTTTTCTCCATTTTTTAAAGAACTGGCAAAGACTTCAAAAACCGTTCCCCAGAAAG